AAAAAAAAAAAGGCACTACAAGGCCAGTGGTAGAATAGCCGGTGATAAAAGACCAGGATGGGTTCCCAAGGGATGAAGTCATACAGAAAGGGCTGTCTGGTGTATATTCAGAAGCATTTTAAAAGCCCACCTGCCCATGCTACCATCATGGTGTGAAATTTATGACGTTATAGTCAAGGTTGTAGTCAAAGTTCTTGCAGTTAGCCACAATCGATGAAGAGAAGCCCCAAGATGGGCTGGAGCAAAGCTGCCTTTGAGGTTAGGTGCATCTTAGTGCTGCCCTGCCGAGTTTAAGTCAGTACCTGCCCTTGGTGTGGGCTTGGGAACAGCAGTGTTGTGGGATGCTGCCCTTGGCCCATCATTTCTCAGCTCTAGCAGGCGAGAAGTGGATCCTAATGGGATAAATGATAAAGGGAGGGCAATGCCAGCATCCCTGCTGTGTCACTGGCCTTGCCCTGGGTGAACCATGTCCCGCCCCAGCCTCCCTCACTACTAGATTTGATCAGGTGCCAAATCTGGGGGTACTTTTCTGGAAGGAGCCAATTTGAGACTCTTCATGGACTTCCAGGAGACAGAGAATCAACTGCAGAGTCTGGGGATCATCAATGAAAGTGAAAAGTAATTTGGCCTGTCTGCTCTGAGAGTTTATCCCTGTGTGTCGTCCTCTGAAAGAAATTCTGCTGTTGTTTATTATTCATTACTTCTGCATTTATTATTCATTATGGCTATTTATTACTTAGGGCACATTTTATTATTGGTGGATCAGCATATTGCACTGAAAGTACAGTAGGCATTTTATAGGTATGTTGGAATCCCAAATCTTTGGTCTTAGCTCAGGGTTTAACATCAGCACTAAAGTGGGGAAAAAAAGCTAGCAAAACTATTAAGAGACATCTACCTTCCAGAGGCCTTTGGCTTGCCTGGGTTGTATCGGTGGGCAGCACATTGAGATTCTCTGCTGGCTACAGTCAACGTGGCACAGCTGTGGATTTCTAGCAGCTGAGAACCTCACTGTATATTATTTTGGTGTGACATTCAAGCTTCAGGATGGGGACTGTCTCTTTACTGTCTTCTCAGCCTTTTCTACCAACAGGCCCTCCTCCAGGGAAGGTAGATCATATTGTTAGCTATCCAGCTGGTGAGGAGAGCAAGTGAAATGTGATGACTTTAATAGTAATATAGGGGTCTCTTTTGGCTACAGACTCCATGAAATCTGTGAATACGCCAAGAATGAAGAGGTAGAAGTTACTTAGGAATTGCAGGTTTTATATACGTAAGGCACTCGTKTTTAACTGTGAGTAACATTGGAACAAACTAATGCAGATAATTCTGTCTTCTAATCAAGATGGACACTCTTTTTGGAGAGTGTTATATGTAGAAGGGTGACTGGCTGGAACCCTGTAGCCTGTGTTACACAGGAGAAGAGAAAAATAGCATGATCTTATCTTAAGCCCTTGGTGGAGCTGAAGTCAACAGAAATTTTGCCATTGGCTTGATTGTGCCAGGACTTCACTTCTGTGACCTGATGTAAGAGTCCAGTTAACTTCCATGGGCTCTGCAACACATACACAATTCCACAGACACTAGTATTTTCTGCTAAATGTTGTTTATACAGCAGTATTAATAAATGTGCTTGATTTTTTTCCCCTCTTTAGATTACAGACTTGGAAGCAAAGCCAGAAAATGGTTTGGCAGCAGTAAGGTAGGAATTGCTTTTTGAGCATTTAGGGCTGAGGTGAACTGCTTTTGTCTAATGCGAACTGTATATAACATAACCCAGATGTTCTCAGGTTGGAATCCAATCCACGTTTCTCATGCAAGAAAGATTCAGGTGTCAGCTGCTGAGGCTGACAGCATGTTACATCCCACCTTCATATGCACAACTGAACATTATTACCCTGTATTGCTTTGCCTATCTGGGCTAAGATGGTATCATGAAAGATCTCTTCCCTTGCAAGGGTGATAACTTTGTTTCTCTCCTGTTTCCCATCTCATTGGGAAAGAAAGTGAAGAAGCAATCTGGAAAAGAGCCCTTGTCCTTTGTCCTCTGCAAATCAGCCAGCCCATGGTGTTCACTTATCCCCTCCTGCCTCGTACACAAATGGCTACTAAATCAGATACAGCAACGATCTACATCCTCGTAAACAATTCAGCTGGGCACTGGGCTCTGCTGAGCCAGCTGCTGTACTTGCCAAATTTGAGCTGCTCCCTGAGTGGTCTTGTGCTGAGCTGTGCAGCCTTGCTCTCGCACTGGGGTCATGGTTACTTCCAGCATGGCATCACGTGGGTCATGGGAGCCTGCAGAGATTTGGAAAAACAGGGGTTCCAAATGACCTCTGAGGMTTTCAGCAAGCTGAAAACTTGGGGAAAAAAAAAGGAGGGGGGGAGGAGAAAAGACCTTTAAGTATAAAACAATATTTGACTCACATATCCCAAAGCATCTCTTGATAGGAGCAGGAGAACAATATTTCTTCRCTGCTTTATGTTTATGAAGACTGCTCCTACCAACCACCTTCGAGATTTGATTTATGTCCCTAGTTMGGAACAATTTTTATTTTTATGTGACCAATTTTGACAGAATCCTGAAACTTTCCCTTCAAAATTTTGTAATGAATTTTCAGGAAGAAGATGCTCTTTTTTCCATAAAAACTTGACTATCTTCAGAGATTCCCCATCTCCATATCAACAATGAGGATGTTAACAATGAATTAACAGTGTTTCATATGATGTTCCTGCTCCCATGCCTAACACCCTGGTGCAATATGCTTTCCTTGCAGATTCATTAACGGTTTGAGCCAAGATGTGAACCTCACCATCAACAACAGGAAGTTTATTGCTCTTCAGAAAAACTACAGCGTTTCTGAGTACACACTGCTAGAGAGGGACAAGTAAGTTTTTCTTGTTGTGCTAAAGATCTTTGTGGCAGCCTTTCTTTGGGTATATTGGGGCTTTTCTCAGGCAAATAGCAAAAGGAAAATAAGATATCCTATCTTGGTGTGTGGTTGTAAAATATTTGTAAATATGGTGTGCAAAAAATGTAGAAGTATCAGCCCTTCCTAGAGCAGGAGCTGGTGTGTGTGCCCCAAAGTACCCTGCCTTTAGTCTGCAAGGGCTTTAAGCCACAGGACAGCAGATCAGCATCTGTGTCTTGTATGTAGGTGGATAGATTCAGGCCTTGAACAGTGTCTGGGATAGCTGTTTTCCCATGTCTGTTATTCTTGGGCTAGGTTAAGATAAATTAGTAAGGGAAAAGCTTAAAACTGTACTTGCATTTAATGACTATATTGACATTCTGTTTAAAGCATGATCCACATTTTGTCAGATCCAGGTCTAGGAAATCTTGGGTATCCAAGAAGTCTTTTGAAGAAATACCAGGCTTGACTTTCTGTGAACCTTTATTCACATTATATGGTGGACTGAAGAGGAGAGATTGGCTGATGCTGTGTKTCAGCAGAGTATAGTAGGAGATAAAAAAAGTCCCCTCTGCCATGTGACACCTGCTCTATCTTGATATTCTTCCAGATCCAAGCTGTTAGTGTAGGATGCTCTTAGAAACAGGTTAATTCATAATTCATGCTATAAAGTGTTGGTATGTGGTCTGGTAATATCAAGTAACATCACATGGCATTGCAGCCTGGACTCATTAGACAGGAGCTCCGTATGGCCTTGGGTTTGGCAGCATTGGAGTTGGCTCTCGCAGAGTATTTCTGGCCTCAGTAGTGTTTCAAAACAAGCTTTATGGCTTCCCCCTGCATTGACTCCATCCAAGAAATTTATTGCTGCAATTTAGTAGGATGCAGCAGCCACTGTTGCAGTGCTGCGGAGACCCTGTGCCATCTTAAACATTCAAAACCAGAAGAACTAATATGAAGGCTAATTTACTGTTTTGAAAGGAAAACTCTAAATGATCTGTGGGTGCACGTCTGTCAATTCCTGAAGGCTGCCTGGGCCTGGCTCACTTCTCTGGCCGACAGTTCCTGAAAAAGTGGAGAAAAGTTTTGGAARGAAAATAAACTTGGGAAAAAAATTGAAGAAATCAGTGCTAGGAAGAAACATAGGTCATTTAAAACATGCCAGCAGTTACTTAGGTCACTGGGTGAACTGTAATCAGTAAGTGTTTCTGGAAGGAAAGGACAGCAAGAGCTCTAGCGATGCACTGACATAAACATGAGGACGTCCTCCAGGTCCATCATAGGGGCCTTCCTGATAGCTCTGCTCTGTGCTCTTTGGCTGAGACTAACCAGGAAATTCTGTGTTTTGTTCTCGTGTCGAGATACGATAACGGCAGGTGTGTAACTGAAGCGGGGGAGTTCGCCCTGGCCCTAGGGCTGCTCGACTTCGGCGCGTCGTACACCGTTGTCATCACTAATGTAAGTGGCCCTCTGATGGTGCCGTGCTGGTCACGTCCATTCTGGTCTCTGCCAACGCTCTCGCACTGGGGCTCTTTCTACAGCTTTCTACGCTCTGCGACACCCGGGCAGTAGCTGTTTAAAAGCAGACCATTATATGAGGGTTGGTAAAAGGTTTGGGTAGTTACAGAAGCAAAGGGGGTGAGCAGGTACTCTGCCTTACATTGTGATGTGGTCAGATCAAGATCTTTTCCCTGGTGGAAATGCTCTGTGGAAAATTATGTCATCTATGGTTTGTGCTCATTTTACGTCATTCTTGTTGAATTGATGTTGACACCGCACATTGCAAAGAGCTGTTAGAGACAGTCTGTAACACTCCAGCTAATGCTGCTTTGGTCTTTAAAATGCTATACCTGGAGGCACTTCACACCTCAAAAAAATATGAAAACAGTTTTCTGCATCTGCAGGCTTTACTTACTGCTCTGAAGTCTGACCTTCTGAGCCTTGTTCAGAAGGTGTGTTAGGTATGGGGGAAGAAGAGCTAAAAGTGCTGAGGCAGGTTAGTGAGATTCCTCCTCTCACCATGTCTACATAGCTCGTTTGGGAGCTCRTTTGGGACTGCAGTGCAAAGTCAAGCAGTGATTTTCTGAATGAGCCAGGCCTGATGGGGTCTGATAGTGCTGAGAGGTGTGGATCCTTTGTCTGCTCCAGGCACACTTCTGCAGCCCTGGTCCAGCTGGCAGAAGCCATGTAGATGAATGTGGTCAGCTTAGTTCCCATTTTAACCTTTCCACTGCACAGACACACAGGCAAACCAGGTCTGACAGGGCACGTGGCTAAGCTGCCCTCAGGGGCTTTGGCTACTGTGCTGTGATGAGCAAGTGCTGTCAACTGCTCCCTGGCAGCAACACCTCCCCACTGGGCAATTAATGGGAGCTGCTCCTGTCTGCAGAGTCCAGATACGTAGCAGGAAAAAAATATAGTTGCAAAGCACCTGGCACTTATCTATATTTTTCACTCCTGTAGCTGGAGTAGGGTGCATAGCCCTGGAGGGAAGAGACAGATGCTGCCATCTGTGAGTGTAGAGAGTTAGGTACATAAACCATATGCGCCCCTGAAGTGATGCTGACCCAACCTCTCCTTCATGGCCACAGACCTCTTTGCCAGATGAGGAGCTGAATTTATTACTTGTGTTAAGAACATTAAACCAAGAGTATTGCCCCAGAGCTCCTGCCCATGCAGCTGAGTCTGGGCTAGTTGAAGTGGATGTGTTGAACCCCTGTCCACATGGGCAGGGGTTCAAGGCCATGAGTCTCATCTGCAAAACTCCCTTCTGGCCCTGGCTGCTTGGAGGTGGCTCTGTGACTCAATTCCTCCAGGCCCTGTCCTTCAATCACTTTGGCCCTCTGTTTTTTCAGTTCTTGTCGTGTAGTTTCCTCTTTGTGTAGAGAGTTAATTTGCTTCAGGCCAAGATCACTTTTAATTATTACAATGATTTGTACTGTGCCCTGCTGCTCTGCAGGGAGTGCTTTATAAAAGAACCAAGATGTAATATATTAGTTTGCTAATGTGGCTGAACTGTAATACTTAAATCATGAAGATGCTGTCTTCCCACCCAGCTTTCCTTAGTTATTGTACTATACTTGTGACATTTTTAATGGGCTAAAGAGCAATGCATAGCTCTCCTCTCACCCCTTTTAGCCTTCTAAAATACACTTTCTTGATCTGCCTCCGTTCATGGTGATTAAGTACATCTCGTAAACATCGCTTGCGTTTTCCCAAGTACCCTCCTTAAACATGGGGTTTTCTGTCTGGAGTTATTTCAGCCTAGTGTTTTCCTGGCTACTGGTCAAATCTCTGTCTGCCTCTGACAGTCCCTGCATCAGAGACTGTGTTAATTACATCAAGGAAGGCAAACAGAAAGGAGTACAGCTGCTACATCGAGATGAATACATTTAATCTGGGACAATCTCTGCTGCTCTGGGAGTTTCCGAGTGGGGTTGGATTGGATGTCACCATTATAGCCAGAGTCTTGGTCAATGTTGGTGAAATAAGAGCAGCGACTACCTGGGTGCAATGAACATCTACCCTTTTGTCCTCCTCTGGCTCTGGAGGGAGAAGCAGTAAGTCACTGTCTCTGTACAGGTACCAGAAGAGCCTTTCCCTACCCGGCTGTGCAAGGTAACTTTGCTGTTTTGCAATAACTTGCATATCTCTTGTGGCACATGCACTTGCTGGGACACTTCCATGCTGTCACCTCTGCTCTGTGAAGTAGGAATCAATCTGTCTCGTTAATAGACTTGAATGTGGCAGAGGTCTGACCCTGCTTACAGGGCAAAGCTTGGCTTCTGTATTTGCTTAAAACTCATTTTGATAAATTCTCTGTTGAATCCAGTCTAAGAAGGATCTGATCTTTCACCAACTAATCAGTGTGTCATTATTTTCTTGCTAGATATCTGGAGGTGCCCTTCAGATATGGAAGTCAGAAGATATCAAAGCCAACAACGTCCATATGGCTTGGCAGTTACCACAATACTTACTAATATCTGCTGGCGAAGTGATGTTCTCCATTACGGGACTGGCCTTCTCCTATTCTCAGGTACTGCACATAAAGATACAGGGCTTACAATTAGACTTCAGGGTTTATTCCTGCATATGCCATCGACTTGTAGTATGTCATTTGGCCTGATGATTACTGACAATGTTATCTGTGCTTCAGCTAAAAGTAGGATTATAACACAGTTTTTTGGGTGCCTTCAAGCTAAACTTACTCATACACTGAAGATACCTGCTCCCATTTATACTTCTCTGATAAAGCTGGAACGGCGAGAGAACACAGGAGGATAAAATATACTTTTAATGGGAAAGACTTGAATTCTGTAATATGAAGGTTTTTTCTCAGTCAAATATTTTTGGTGTATGTTTTACAGTGACAACAAGGCAAAAGTAGCCCAAAGACTACAGGATGATCTGGGGGCTTGGCATGTGCTTTAAGATGAGGGACTAGAGGAGTCTTAGCCTATCCAAGCCTGCAATGAAAGAGCAAGGGGTGATGAGGATGTGTAATTTGTTTGTGGTAAATTAGGCTGTCTGAGAAGTGAGAACTGGGACATTACAGGATCAAGAAGCTGAAGCTACTCAAATTTATCCTTCAAGTAGAGTACAGATGTTTATTAATGAGGGCAATTAATCAGTGGAGCGGCCTGATGCGGGTTGCAGAAAACTAGTCTAGCAGAAAGTTTAACATTAAGATCCAGTCTCTTCTCCCAAGGAGAGCAGCTACAGGGCACCTGGGTCTAAGATGCAAGCTTGGGTTCCTGAGCTTCTAGATCTTAAAGTTTTAAATGATGTAGAGTTGGGGTTGGGCAGGACCAGCTCTGCAACAGCAGCATCCCTTCCTCCTTCATTTGTCCTCCTCAATTTGTTTTGAAAGCCCCCTGCACCCAGATATAGGGTTTAATTGCAGAGGAAATTCCATCCTGCCTGAGAGCAGGGATGCCTCTAGCTAGCTCAACATCACGGGGAAAAGCTGCAGGGCAGCAGGGCACAGCGCGATATCCTCTGACCCTTCTCTTCTCAGTCCCCGGCCAGCATGAAGTCGGTGCTGCAGGCCGGCTGGCTGCTCACCGTGGCATTCGGGAACGCCTTCGTGCTCGTCATTGCCCAGACTGCACCAATGGCACAGGTAGGGTTTGGGCTCTCGGAACATGTTAAGACGGGTCCTGGATGGTGCTTTTTGATAACCATGCCCCGTTAGCCCAGCAAGCCTATGTCCAGCTCGCCTCCCTGTACAGCCTCAGGCACCTACACCAAGCAGTGACGCCCTGCCCTGAGCTACCCCCCAGCCTGGGCTCTGTTTGCCCATTAATGGTGTTTCCCCCRCCTTAATTTAGACCCTGGAGCATTGTGACAAGCCACTGTACGTGTGTGGCTGTGAGGCTCCCTAGGGGCCAGCAGCCTGCAGTGCTGCTGAGACACAAGGCTTTGCCATCCAAGGGCTGTGGGGCAGCTGTTGCTTAATCCAGGGATTCAGAGTTCTGGAGTGCTGGCGTGAAGGTACAAACTGCAGCTGGTTTCTGGTTCAGATGTAAGGTGAGACTGTGTCCCAGAGGTGTCTTGCATGCTTCCCATTGATCTAACTAGTTTGTTTCAAGATATGGTGTATATATATTTGTAATTCATTAAAATTACGTGGGTTTACCCTGTAATTACCCAGGGTAATTTTTACCTATCCAAAAGGATGATGAGAAAATTTCTCATATGAGCAATCTTGGAAGATGAAAAATAACTTTTTTCCAGTTCCTTAAAAAGCACTTGGAAATGGAGATAATTTCTTTGGAGGAGTTTGGGGTCCCCTGACCGCTTGTTGTTTTTTCTTTCCTAGTGGGCTGAATTTGTCTTGTTCACTGTTCTCCTCTTTGCTGTGTGCATTGTTTTCTCCATCATGGGATATTTCTATGTCAGTGTGGATCCAGAGGACCTKCAAGAAGAGAAGAGAGAGACCCCAGGCAGAGGAAACATGATTGGTCTCGTTACTCAGAAAACAAAACTCTAACACATCATGGGCTGGGATTTTTTTTTTTTTTTTTAACTCATTAGATGGGTGGGAAAGAAAAGGGTGGGGTTGGAGTTATTTTATTGCATTACAGTCTTTATTACTTAAAATGTAGCTACTGTCTAAATGGGACAAAATAGCCCTCTTTAAAAGCAATAGGGAACCTGAAATCAGATCAAAACTCCCTGGGAAAGCTTCTCTAGTATTAAAAGCACTTACAAGTAAGTATAGTGTAATTTAAAACCTGCTCATCTTTCTAAGCAGGGAATAATTTTCTATGATTTTGTCTTAAACATATATTTAAGGCAGCAGGGAAGAGGGTGGAGGGCAAGCCCTTTGGCAGCAAAAGTGGGAGATGTGGGGAGAAGAGGATGGAATTTAAGGAAAGGAACAGGGAAGAATAGGAAGCAGGGAAAAATAGAAGTTAGAGGCAGAAAATTTTTCATGTAATTGCCAAGGACTGGAAGTTTTACACAGTCGCAAAGGATTTCATCGTGCATCTTTCCTTATGATTATTTCACCCCTTATTGTATGTTATGAATGGTCCTGATTTATGACTTTCACCTCCAGGCCCAGATGCAATAACAGAGAATTAAATGCTGCAGGGTAAAATATTCCCAGAACACTTCTGAACAAGATACACATGCTGCCATTTATCTCTCTGATCCGCATTTTTCCTTCAATGTTTTTAGAGAATGATGATATTTTTTAATTAGACACAATTAGAGAGTTGGTTTACACTTTGTTTCAGAAATTTAGCCAGTTATTTGGCATCTTCCTTCCAAGCCTTTATTGAACATTTCCTTTCAGTGCCTGCCACTGCAGGTTAGAATATGGCTGTTTTCTCATCTTATGCTTCAATTGTTCCCCACTGGGAGACACATTGCAGCAGTTTCTATAAAATTCCGGACATCCTGCAGTGAGTTAAACAAGGATGCTCTTTATCATCTTTTTCAGCCTCCTAAAGGAGACCATGGCATAAGAGACTTCTCTTTTTCCCCCACTTTTATACCTCTCTACCAAACTTTGCATGTACCTATTTTAGCAGAATTGTGATACAATTGTCTGATTTTTCTCACTTGCACAAAGCTGTGATTTCTTGTTCTGCTCAGAAGTTATTCAACCATTGCTGATCCAGTAAAACTCCCAAGAGAGTCCTTGCCTTCTTCTATCCCTGCAAGGCCGCAGCTCTAACAGGTATGGCCTAACTTGTAAAAGGGCTGACAGAAGGATCTGCAGGTTCCCTGTGTGTGGATTTTACTGATGATTTGCTCTTTGGACTTGGCATTCATTGGTCGTATGTGGTCGCTGATGTTGCGATTCAGGAGATTATTGAAGCACATTATTATTTCTGTCCCTTTTCAGGACATTGCAAAGGATCTTGTTTAGCTTGAACTCTTTGGTGCTTTAACATTTTGCCTTGCAGGAGGGAATCTTCTCAAATAAAGCTGAGAAAACTCCACTTTTTGATTTGTAACTCACAGACTCACTACATCAGACTTTCCTTTGCTTACTGTCCTAAATGCTCATGAACCTGCAACAGTAGTTCTGCGTAGCTCCTGCTTACTGTGAGATAGCATCTGGCTCTTGCCCCAGGAGGGGACTGTGGTCTCAGATAAATGACAACAGGCTGCAACTGTGCCCATGGAAGCCCTTAATGTGGTTCAGCTGATGTAGAGCCATTTATTAAGTTGTGGTAGCTGGTTTGGGCAGCTGAGTCCTGCGACTCAGCGGGGAATGAAGGGCATTGAAACCTCTGTATTAGATTATTTGACCTGTTCTTCAGAAGCCAACTGAGGACTATTCCCTCGGCTCCTTTCTGGTGTTAGTCTCTTGCCATCGTTCTTTATGGGGGTTCTTTCCCCTCCAAGCGTTGCTGTTTTCCTCATCCTGCTTTATGATACCCTGTGAATCAGCTCCGAGGCTGCTGAATCACTCTGCTGTGATGCTGTCTGACTGGCTTCCAATTTGAACCATTAATAAAAAGCATTTCTTTCCTTCTTGCAAACAAAACAAAGACTCCCAAATGGAAGGAACTGACAGTCTCCAATAGCACTGAGCAGACACAATTTAAAATTATTGGAGCATTTAATYTTTTTGTAAGCCTTGAATTTGGAAGCGAGCTGGGATTTGAGGGCATATATGGTGAAGAGACAATTGAGCATTATTGAAGCACGTTCCTTGGGAAGTACTTGGTGCATCACAGCTCCGAGTGGTAGGAGGGAAAGCAAGGTGTCCAAAGGATGCGATCCTCCAGAGCACGTGTTCTCAAAAGTCTCTCTTGWTTTTTTCTTATTTTTATGTTTTATTTCCTTACTGGCGGCATTACCAAAAGCCGTCACATACTCTGAGTTTAATTTAAAGGAATCATTCCAAACTCATAAAAGATACATTTAGSATGTCATCTGAATCTGCTTCTTAGACTCCTGATGCCAAATTGTCCCTTTCCAAATGTTTCCATATTCCAAACCATTGCCATAATGCTGGGGCAGGGTGGGGAGTAAAACTGCAGTTCACAGTTGCAAAGAGAACATTATGAACAGGAAGGCAATGCTGTAAATGAAGTGCCAACATGAGGCTGGGGGCTGATCCTGCAACCTCTTCAGGAAATATTTCATATATATTAACCCTTCAGGAAATATTTCATATATGTCCTGCAACCTTTCAGGAAGGTTCCCTTGTTTGCCTGAGGGAATACACAGGTCTGTTCCCATTTCTCTTCCACCTGATACCGTTACTTCTTCCCACCTGCTCATCATCACCTGTTAGAAGTCACTTCTCCCCCTGATCTGCCTGCTCGGTTGCTGTTATGATCATGCTCATCATTTCAGGTGCCATCATAAAGTTTTGCTGGGCGGATGTATTTAATTGAAATGCACCAGCAGCCTGGCAGGATTTCCATCAAGCAAGCTGACAGCCAGCCAGGAGCTTCTCCTGCTGAGCTGGGGAAGGTTGGTTTGCAAAATCAGACATTATTTCTGCAGTTTTACAGCCACCACGTTATCCATGGAGCACTTTCATCCTTTCCAAGTGCACTCTTGAAAGGATCAAAGATTTAGGACCTGATTCTGTGGAGTCCTGATGTCYCTGGAGTTTTTCTTCCATGCAGTTAGCTGAGATACAAGGCCACATACAGCTCTGATGTCCAATTTCAGAACAATCATTGCTCCTCCTGGTTCCTTGATTTGGAATGAGATGGGAAACCAAAACAGTGCTAGCTATGAGAACCTGTATAGAACAATGGGAGGCTCTTGTCTGTCTATTTGAACCTGCTGCTGAAGGAAGTCTCAGCTGTTGCTGGAGTTTATCTTGAAGCAGGTTAAGGAAAGCTTAGACCTGCTGTTGTGGAGGCTGACCTATAGAAATATAATCTCCAGCTAAGGTTGGTAATGAGCTTAATGAAGATCTATAGGCATAATTTATATATTATATTGCTGCAGAAGCTCTCGTCATGGACAATGCAGGAGGCTGACTTCATTGTGCAAGAGTATGTAGGAAGGTATTTATCTATTTTCTTGAAGGTTATGTTCTCATAAGGTTTTTTTTTGTAAGCAAACTTYTCTTTGGTTGCATTAGCTGTTGTTCAACTCATCTTTTTTCCTTAACGGATTGTAAAGGCAGCAGTTTTATTTCCAGCTTCGTATAAGATAAGCTTTAAGAATGAGATTTCAAAATCAGCAAAATAAGTTTCTGGCTTTAAGTTCCTTAAATTTACCTCTATTTTTTTTCTGAGTCATTAAAATGCCTTTCCCTTCTCTTTGCATCGTTCTAGAAGTTGAGATTTTTTTTTAAGTCAACGAAAAATGTCACCTCTGGGAGGGTGGTGGGGACTGGCGCAGACCCAGCTGGGACCTGTAGCCAACACTGGTTCRGGGTTAGTGTCCTCACTGGGCACAGGATCTCATTTCTGCTCTGGAGCCTGGCCCAGGGCTATGGGAGGTTGCTTGGGCTGAGCTTGCCCTGGTGGGAGACATGGTTTTCCTGAGCAGTGACTGAGGTGGGACTTTTATTGGGAAGGCTTCTCTTCTCCAGGCTGACCAGCCCTAGCGCTCTCAGCCTTTCCTCACAAGAGAGATGCTCCAGTCCTTTAATCATCTTGGTTCTCCTTYGCTGGATTCACTCCAGTAGCTCCGTGTCTCTTTTGTGCTGARGAGTCCARCATTGGATACAGAACTCCAGACATGGCTTCCCCAGGACTGAGTAGAGGGGAGGATCAGGTCCCTTTGCCTACAGGTCAGGCTTTTTCTCATGCAGCCCTGGATGTTGTTGGTTGCCTTTGTCATGAAGGTCTCTGCAGGACTCCTTTCCAGCAGACCAGCCCCAGTTTGTTGCTGGTGCATGAGGTTATTCCTCCCAAGATGAAGGACTTTGAAGTTCCCTTTGTTGATCTTCCTGAGGTTCCTCGATGCCCATCTCTCCAGACTGCTGAGGTCCCTCTGAATGGCAACACAGCCCTCTGCTGTATTTCATACATAATTTCTGGTATAATTCATTGCATCACATTAACTGGAAGGAAAATGAGGTGAGAGAACTGAGATGCTCAGATGATTAAATACCAGAGGACTTCAGACCTTTCAGAAAAACTCTCCAGAACATGTGATGACAGTCACGGTCACCCATCATCTAAAAAGGCATTGCAAAGGCAGAGCCTTTGAAAAATCAGCATGCAGACCTGCAGCAAAGTCCACAGTGATGGTAGGGGGAAAGGGTGATGCCCCCATCATCTCTATCCCATCCACCTTGGCTTTCCTGAGGGATAGGAAAAAACAGTTTAAGGTCTATTACAGAGGGAGGTAGCTCAGGAGGGAGTGCTGCAGACAAGGCAGCAGCTCAGTAGGCATTTTTGGCCAGGGCCCCATGTAGAGGAGTAGTCTCCTCTCCTCCTCCGTGTTAGACTTCTTTCCCTAGCCACAAGAAACATTTTCCAGCAACACCAGCTTAAGCCTGTTACTGCTATAGTGGTTATTGTGATGTGATTAGAATAACAGCACTTACAGGATGTTTCTGGTCCCAGATGTT